CCCTGCCCCAAACCCCGCCCCAAAGCCCATCCCAAACCCTGCCCCAAACCCCGCCCCAAAGCCCGCCCCAAACCCTGCCCCAAATCCCGCCCCAAACCCTGCCCCAAAACTTGTCCCGGATTCAGACCCGGCCCCCAGCCCAAAGCCCGCCCCAAATCGCGCTCCAGACCCCGCCCCAGAGCCCGCCCAGGCCCCGGAGCCCGCCCCAAAACTTGTCCCAAACCCGACCCCAAAACCCGCCCCAAAATTCGCTCCAGACCCCGCCCCAAAGCCCGCCCAGACCCCAAACCCGGCCCCCACCCCAAATCCCGCCCCAAAACCTGCCCCAAACCCGGCCCCCACCCCAAAACCTGCCCCAAACCCGGCCCCCACCCCAAAACCTGCCCCAAACGCCGCCCCAAACCCCTCCCGGGACCCCGCCCCACACGCCGCTGCTGGGGAATTTGGGGTCGGGGCCGGATTTGGGGCTGGGAGAGGATTTGGGGTCGGATTTGGGGCCGGTGACAGATTTGGGGTCAGGGGCGGATTTGGGGTCGGATTTGGGGTCGGGGTCCGGGCCCCGCCTGACTTTGAAGGATTTCGATGCCCTGATCCGGGAACTGGAGCGGGAGCTGGGGACACGGCCGGACGTGGGGCTGTGACATCGGGGACATCGGGGCGACACCGAGGACATGGCCCCCAAAATCCTCCAAAATCCCCCCTCAAAAATGTCAAAATTCCCGCAAAAAATCCTCAGAATCCCCCCCAAAAAATCCCAAAATTCCCGCAAAAATCCCCCTCAAAAACTCCCCAAAATTCTCTCAAAATCCCAACATTCCCCCCAAATCCCCCGGGAATGCGAAGCCCCCGTCCCCAAGGCCACCAATGTCCCCTCAGTGTCACCTCTGGGGGGGAGGGGGTGACACCAGTGTCCCTTGTCCTCCCCCCCCCCCTTTGTCACTGTCCCCAAATTGTCACCGGCAATAAAGGACACGGCTCTTTATTCCCACGGTGCCCAAAGTGTCCCCAAGGGGGGTGACAGTCCCACAGTGTCCCCAAGGGGGGAACAAAGTGTCACCTGGGGTTGGGGACAATGCCCGAAGTGTCCCCAAGGAGGGGGTGACAGACCCTGAAGTGTCACCCGAGGGGAGGTGACAGTGGCCAGAATGTCACCTGAGAAGGTGACAATCCCCAAAATGGCCCCTGCCACCCTTTGGGGCCAGTCTGGGGCCACTCGGGGACACTTGGGGACACTTGGGGACACTCAGACCGAGATGGAGCCCTCGCGGAAGTCGCTCCGGCCCAGGAGGGCGTTGACGAGGACGGGGTGGCCTCGGTGACACTCGGCCTGTGCTGCCTTCAGCACGGCCACCAGCCTGTCCCCAACGTCCCCAGGGTCCCCTCCGGTGTCCCCAGCGCTGTCCAGGACGAAGCCTCGGCCCCCCAGCGCCGCCGCCACCGCGTGGTAATCTGGGGACACACGGGTGGCATTGTCACCGGGGGTGGCACAGGGACAGGGGGTGGCACAGGGACAGGGGGTGGCATTGTCACTGGGGGGTGGCACAGGGACAGGGGGTGGCACAGGGACAGAGGGTGGCATTGTCACTGGGGGGTGGCCTGAGCTGCTGTCCCCTGTCCCCTCAGTGTCCCCTCAGTGTCCCCTCAGTGTCCCCTCAGTGTCCTCCCACATCCCCAGTGTTCCCCGGTCACTGGGCAGTGCTCAGCAGTCAGTGGTCACTCAGTGGTCACTCAGTGGTCACTCAGTGGTCAGTGGTCACTCAGTGGTCAGTGGTCACTCAGTGGTCACTCAGTGGTCAGTGGTCACTCAGTGGTCAGTGGTCACTCAGTGGTCACTCAGTGGTCAGTGGTCACTCAGTGGTCAGTGGTCACTCAGTGGTCACTCAGTGGTCAGTGGTCACTCAGTGGTCAGTGGTCACTCAGTGGTCACTCAGTGGTCAGTGGTCACTCACCGCTGTAGCTCAGGCCGCAGCCCACGGCGCTGCCCAGCAGGGGGAGCTGCTCGCGGCTGATCTGGGTCCAGCCGGCGTCGTTCCCAACCAGGGCGATGACCGGGACCTGCGGGGACAGCGACAGTGGGACAGCGACAGTGGGACAGGGACAGAGGTGACACCCCCGGGGACAGCGACAGTGGGACAGGGACAGAGGGACAGCGACAGAGGTGACACCCCCGGGGACAGGGACAGAGGGACAGGGACAGAGGTGACACCCCCGGGGACAGGTGACATCCCCAGGGCCTCGCTGAGGGCAGGGAGAGGAAAGGTGACACCCCCAGGACAGTGACAGTGACAGTGACAGTCACCTTGTGGCGCACGAAGGTGTCGAACTCCATCAGGCTGAAGCCCAGCGAGCCGTCCCCGTACAGGACCCACACCTGGGGACCGTCCCCAGACGTCACCCGTGGCCCTGGCGGGTGGCCCTGGGGACCCTCCGGCCCCCCAATGTCCCCTCACGACCCCCGTGTCCCCCCCGGTGTCCCCGTGTCACCCCCGGTGTCCCCGTGTCACCTCAGCCTCGGGCCGGCAGAGTTTGGCCCCGAGCGCGAATCCTCCGCCCACGCCCAGGGTGCCGAAGGGACCTGCGGGGACAGTGGGGGACATTGGGGACATCACATCACTGCCACCAGGGACAGCGGGGACATCACTGCCACCACACCACGACACCACCGGCCGTGTCCCCGCGTGTCTCCACAGCCCCACGGGGTCCGGCCGTGTCCCCGAGGTGTCCCCGAGCTGTCCCCTGTCCCGGGGGTGGCCGTACCGGGGTCCAGCCAGGCCAGTGGCCGGCGGGGCCGGACGATGTAGGCGGCGGTGGCCACGAAGTCGCCTCCGTCGGCCACCAAGAGGCTCTGGGGGGGCAACACCTGGTCCAGGGCCTGCAGCAGCGCCAGCGGGTTCAGGTGACACGGGGGGGGCACCGCGGCCTTGTCCCTGCGGGAAAAGGGGAACGAGGGGGTCTGACCCCAAAAATCCCGGGAAAAGGGGAACGAGGGGGGTCTGACCTCCAAACCCCCCCGGGACCGGTTGGGAAGGGGAGCCCCAAAATTGGGAATGGCGTTGTCCCCCCAGATTCTCCTCACTGTCCCCGTCCCTGTCCCCTCACCGGTTCCGCTGCTCCTTCTCCCTCTCGGCCTCCCGGAGCCGCTCCAGCCATTCCCGGGGGCACGAGAAGCCCTGGAGGCTCTGGGCCAGCGCCACCACGAAGGACGCGGGGTCACCTGCGGGACCTCAAAGTGTCACCAGGGACCGGCCCGGCTGGGGACGGCCCCAAACCGGCTCCGTTCAGCCCCAAAATGGCTCAAATCGGCCCCAAAATGGCTCAAATCGGCCCCAAAATGGCTCAAATCGGCCCCAAAATGGCTCAAATCGGCCCCAAACTGCCTCGTTCTGAACCAAAACCGCCTCATTTGTGTCCCCAGAGTCCCGGTTCGTGTCCCCGAGGTCCCGGTTCGTGTCCCCAGAGCCCCGGTTCGTGTCCCCACGGTCCCGGTTCGTGTCCCCACGGTCCCGGTTCGTGTCCCCAGAGCCCCGGTTCGTGTCCCCACGGTCCCGGTTCGTGTCCCCACGGTCCCGGTTCGTGTCCCCACGGTCCCGGTTCGTGTCCCCTCACCGTGCACCGCCAGCCGCGGTTTCCAGAACACATCCGCGTTCCGCAGCAGCTGCGCCCGGTCCCGGTTCGCGGCCACCACGGCGGTGCCGCGGCCGAAGAGGCGCCCGTAGGACAGGCGGAAATCGCAGACGGTGCCTGGGGGGCACAGCCGGGGCTCAGGGGTGTCCCGGGGTGTCCCCCCGGTGTCCCCCCGGTGTCCCCGGTGTCCCCCCGGTACCTGCCAGCAGCACCAGGTCGGCGTCGCGCAGCGCGTCGCGGCGGTTCTGCCGCAGGAGCAGGGGACACTCGGGGGGCAGCAGCCCCCGCGCCGCCCCCCCCAGGTAGCAGGGGACACCGAGGGACAGCAGCGCCGAGCTGGGGACGGGGGGGGGCAGGTGAGGGGCTGGGGGGGCCAAAGCGGCTCGGTTCGGGCCCAAACCCGGCTCGGTTCGGCCCCAAAAGCGGCTCAATCCCGGCCCCAAACCCGGCTCAGTCCCGGCTCCAAACCCGGCTCGGTTCGGGCCCAAACCCGGTTCAATCCCGGCCCCAAACCCGGCTCGGTTCTGGCCCAAACCCGGTTCAATCCCGGTCCCAAAGCCGGCTCAGTCCCGGCTCCAAACCCGGCTCGGTTCGGGCCCAAACCCGGTTCAATCCCGACTCCAAACCCGGCTCAGTCCCGGTCCCGAACTGCCTCGGTTTGGCCCCAAAATCGGCTCAATTAGGTCCCAGAAACCGCTCAGTTAAGACCTCACTCCCTCCCAGCGCCCGCCCAGTGCCCCCCAGTCCCGCCCAGTGCCCCCCAGTCCCTCCCAGTGCCTCCCAGTGCCCCCCAGTCCCGCCCAGTGCCCCCCAGTCCC